CCTCAGGTGATGAATGAAACTGTTTGATGTGCCACCGAAAACCTTTGTGACACATCGTCAGTAAAATTTCAACTAACCGTTCCGTTTGATAACTGATACACTGATAGAGTTCCAAAACTAAATCAAGACAAACTGTTTCCCATCGTCTGCGACTAACGCCCTCTAGGAATCGGTGCCGGTTTCAAATCAACGTTTCTCCCAAATACCCGCGATGCCATCTCCAGCCAACCTGAAAAAGCAGCTGCTTATAACAGTGGTTAAACATAAAACAATCTTCTGCAGTGTACAATGAATTCCGATGACCTACCTGTCGGTCTCCAACCAAAACTCCGTCAAGACTCATGACACGGTGAGACAGGGTGAATCCATTTCAATCTCAATCTAATCTCTCCGGCGTGAAACAGCTCCAACTTCAGAGTTGATCATTCTTGTAACCTCGAAATGAGTAATCTGATAGTCTGGAATCAACCTACTTGCAAACATTAAGCAGTAAGACCGTCAATAGTGTGTGATAATACTTTGAAGTGCTGCAACAGTAGTGGATACGTAAATGGAAGGAAACGAGCAACACTTGGACAAGATTTATTCTAAATGACTTCAGTAATGTCACATTTTCACGTGCATTTGCATGTTTGGGTAAAATAAGGAAAGCAAGTGAAGAAAATGATAGGAAAAGAAGTTATCTTCATGGGAGTCAAAGATGAAAGCAAAACCAAATAAGAACAATAACAACAACACCAACAGCAATCAAAATGATTATGACAAGACGCCAGTGACATCGCAGAAGACAACCTAGGTGAAGTTTGAAAACTCTGTCTTTAATTTAATTTCAACCCTCGGTTGTTGTTGATGTTGCAGCCGCTGACACGTGGCGATTGTACCTTTCTTTGTCGAAGTGGCACTGGTGGAGGCGTCGGTAGCATTTGTCGAAGCTTTCACAGCAGCCTCGATTTTAGGTTTCAGACTACCAACCTTCGCCACCACATGTCGAAACTCCGCCGGGTAGCGAGAACCGAGGGTAAGCAAGTTCTTCAATGCCAAACTATGAAGCATTTGACGTACTGCTCTCATTCCATCGTTGCTGCCATTGTCATCGCTACTAAAAGAATCAGTGTCATGGAGCAGATCGCAGAAGAGGGGTAAAAGGATTATGAGAAGGTTCTGACGTCCTGAGGCCTCGGCAATGTCCACGACATTGACGGAAAGTGCTATAGCAGCAGATACAGCTTCCTCCAGATTGGCGAGGAAGAGACGGCGAGCATGTTGTTGTAACATTGGCGACTGTAGTTCACCGAACACATCCCCTGTTGCTGGTGTGATTGGAAAAATGGCTCCAGAGGTCGTGGTGGTGACCAAAGAGAGTTCATACAACCAGTGGAATACCTAGAGAGTTGAAAACAAAGAGGCAACTATAATTCGAATTTTGAGCCAGTCGAATTCGGAACCGTTTTATATTGCGCAAAGAAAAAGCCCAAATAAAGCCAAAATCCCTATCTTTGAACGATAATTTCGGCAGCAAAAAGGATAGACGTGCTTATGTCAGATCGATAAATGCGCACTAATAAGTAGGACCACTAGCCTGAGGCATGAGAGTCTTCACACAGCAGGAGCTGACATCAGCATCGTGATGGTTGACGAGCATTTCAATGGCAGCGAGACAAACAGAACGGGTGGTAGCACCACTCAAGGGAGCTTGTGGCGACGCCGGTAATGATGCATCCCGCCATGCCCTTGTCAGCAAGTCAAAGATGCCGAACTCCACGGCACGACAGCGGAACACCGCCAGTGGCGCAGCAGCGATCACGCGAGCTGAGAGGCACGCCGCAGTAAGGCAGCACCTCGCAGTGCGCTTAGGCGAAAAATGAGACATCAATCTCCTTTGCAAGCATATCTTCAAAATTTCGTAGGAACCACTGTACTATAACCCTCTGCGCTCAGTTCCAGCTGAATACAAGTATTTACAACTGTTCCCAGGTTCCTTCAAACCAATCACCCATCGTGAGAGCATACTAGCCTTTTCGGAGATTAAAATCTCCACCTCGAGCACCATTTCCAAAAATTCTCAAACGCTAAACTATGCGCAACGATTCAGAGCTACTCAGAGATTGTCAAGTAGGTACCACTCAGAACCACAAGCATCTTGCCGCAAGCTAAGACACCCGGCATAACTCATGGACCTGAGCTTAGGAAGATTAACTGAGCATAAACATCAATAAATGCACTTAACTTCAAACCCATGACTGAAATTGCTAGTGAAAACTCTACACACCATTTAAATGTGGGAGAATTCATCATACCTTTATCGCAATTTCTCCATTTGTCTCTCCCGTTACCGTTATTGATGCACCTCCAAAAGCATGATCATGTTGAATAAAGGTTAATAGACAAGCAATCACAAGCTGATGCCAATCGCATGCTGGCGTATCCTCAGATTCATTAACAACATCACTAATTGTGTTCTTGGATTGGCTAACAGAGGGCAAAGTGCTGCTAGACACTGCATCATCCACCATCTCCGAAGCACTGCTTGAAGAAAGATCAGTAGAGGTAGTAGTGTCGGCTGCTGCAGATGCAGAGGCGATAGTACTAGCGGACGCAGGTCGGCAGTGATGTTGAGCTACCGTGGCGAGGAAAGCAACTAAAGCGTCAGCTAGGCAGGCCTGCTCCTGGCTCCATCCTAGTTTTGCATTGAGACTGGCACAGCAACGTCCTGCAGCACTGAAATTGGCGGCTTCTGCAGCTGTGATGGCAGTAGAATAGACGGTATCATTAGCGCCTGTAAGGAGAGATAAACAAGTGCAATCAACTGTAAATTGTTCCCCGAGCTTCAGTGTAGATAGTTTGCTTTCAAGGATGCAACAGGAGGATGAAATAAGAATGTGAGTTCCATAATAAGTCTCTTTGGTTTGTATAAGTGCTATTGGAGTGGAGAACATACCAGAACTTGTGGAAGTGATATCCGTCTCTGCGGTGGTGGCTGCTTTAAAGGCGTTGGCAGAGATAGTACCGAGGTCTGGCGGACCAGATGTGACAGCAGTAGAAGCGGCGACAGTAGATATAGTGGAAGTAGATTCCAAGCTAGCAACGTCCGCTACTCCACCCTCTTCGTCCAATCCCGTAGAGTTTGACGATGAAAGTATTCCTGGTTCGTGAGCTTCCATTTGTGACGATTTTAAAAGCTCCAGCTGAAGTTAAGTACAAACGGCTTCGAGACCAATGGTTAAAAAGAGCCAACAGATATATGATGACAATAATTCATTTCTCCAATTCTTCGTTCAGTAGATAAAGCAAATGTGAGTAAAACGAGTGGAAGTCTAATGCAATGATCTTGAAAGTAAAGGACTAACCTGAGCGATTCGCGACACCAATCGACACATGACAGGTAAAACACCCGAAACCTTTTTATCCGGATTGATTGAGAGAACATCAGGTGAGGTGATCCGAAGCAAAGCGGTAAGAGCATGAATTGCACTAGCCAAAATTACTGGTGCCTTTCTGTGTCCAGCTGCCAATGATTTGGGGAAAGCTGGTGGAACTGATAAAGGCAAATGTAATTAAAATCACAACTAGCTTTTGTTTCATAAATTTAGGAAAGGATACGCACTTTTTGAAGATGGAGTATGCTTCGACACTGGTGATTGCAAAACAGAAGGATGGTAACGAGCTAGGAGACAGACGATTACTTGCATTACAGTAAGGACTAAGCGACATGAAGAATCTGGTGATTCTTCAAAACAGGATTTGGAACCCCCATCGGCTAGTTCGAGAGCTTTCAGCACAACTTCCATATCGGTAGCGCAAGGACAGAGAGGAACTGCTAATAATTCCTCAAGGCTTTGGCCCGTCTCCAACCAAATTTGAATGGCTTCTGCGCCTTCTTCGACATTGCCACTGCCAGAGGAACTCAAAGCAGCTGAAATTGGAATTGTAAGCCAACCAATATTGAATCGAGGTCGAGCTATTATCAATAGATATTCCACATACCACCAAGGACAGTACGGAGTCTGTTGTCAGCCGCGGCAAGGAGGAGGTGAAGAACTCGAAGACAGGCGAGATGAAGAGAGACAGAGTCACGAGTAAGGATGATTCGATGCAGAACCGACAACAATTCGACCAAAAGTTGCGGAGTAGAAGCAAAGAAGTAGGGCTGTGACTGCGAATTCATGAAAAGCAACTCCACGATTCGCAAACACTTGGCGACTACCGAGGTCGGAGGCTTGGAAATGACATCGGATATAGCCTCTAGTGCTATGCCTAGAGAGAAAAAGGAACGAAGACGAAGCTAGCTTCGCACCAAGTATTAAATTATGCGGACCATTTAAACTATCGGTCCCTCAATTATCCTCCACTGTAAACACTGCTTATAACTTTTTAGCAAGTTGATTAGCGACAAAAGCTTACCAAAAATAAGAAAGAAGGAGTCCCGTGTCATGGGGACAACGGTTAGCCTCTCCGTAGCTACATGACCGGAATAGGATAACTTGGAAGTGCATTTTGACTCCGTATTCAAACACAATGTCGCAGCCTCGAGCAATGCAAGCCAGGAGCGTGCGTAGAACGGCCGCACTTGCTCAATACCCGTCTGTGTGTCGTAAAACGCTCCCGCGGTGGAAGGACGCTGGAAAGCTAGTTCATCAGGGAGATTGATGAGTGCGAAATCGCGCAGTGCAGCCAGCCAATCTGAGGCCAATTCGGGAAGATCCTCACCAATTAGGTGGGATAGAAGTTGATAGGAGTGTCGTGACTCAGTCACTGTGCGACGTGATTTCCGAATAAAACGTTTTCGTTTGACTAAGGGAGGAAAATAATCAAGCAAAACATAACCATGTAAAATCATTGACGGTAACCATTAATGTAAAGCGCAAGCAGCCTATGACCAAGATGCATCACTGCACATAACAAAATTATGGAATACCGCTTCATCCCCACTGGCCTTGAAGAAGTGAAAGCATGGTTTATTGTTAATGAAGAGGTGGAATAGGCTTAGAATGGTTTAGTCACGCGGCTTTCTAGTGAATTACTTGCAGTATAGAAACAACTAACCATCAACACTTCCACTGCACTCTCCAATCTCCTCATGGAACACCTCGCCGTCCTCCTCCTCATCTTGATCTTCCTCCTCCTCGTTGAACTCGCTTTCATTATCTACCTCCTTTTCAAACACTTCCAACAGTTTTGACGCATCGTTGACCGATGGTTGGGCCCAATTCCCACTGCCAACACCACCACCAGCGAGCATAAGAAAGAACTGTCGCTGAACTATATCTCCAAGAGCATCTCCACCACTGCTGCTCTCCCTTCCACTGCTCTCTAACATGGATAGCAGCTGTAGGGTTTGAAGTGCCGTTTCGCGAAACCTCACCGCAGCAATGAAGACCTCGGCCCAGGCGGTAAGTACGGCTAATTTGAGACGAGTCACACAGGCCTCGGAGAAGAGCGCAGTGGAGGCAGAGTTTGAGGATGGTGGAGAGCGGAGGATTTCAAGCGAAGCGGTGAGGAGATCGTGAACTCGGCGGAGATCTGCAGCTTCCCGAGGTACACCAGAGGTCAGCCAACAGGCGCACACCTCGCAAGCAGCTGCGGTGATGTCGGGGAGAGGAACAGCGGTGACAGTGGCGAAGGACGATGACGAAGGGGATGCATCGACACTGCTGGTGGTCGCAGCAGTGGTGAAAGCTGGACTCAAGGCCGCAGAGATTTGGGCTTGGAATTGTTCCAAAAGGTAGGTTCCTTGAATGAGGAATAAGTCGTTTCAAGTGTTGTGACAAAGGTGTGGAATCTACTAGTAATAGATACAGAAACGAACGAAAAAGTGCATCTGCGATAGATTGTAGAATCCGAAGATCTATCAAAGTGAGACTGGTAAGTCGGCTTCGATTGTTTACAAAAGCTCTAGCAATGAGTTGCACACAAAACCAGCTTTGCAGTTTGCCTGTAATTGAACAGGCCAAAGACAACTGTGAAGCAAATGACTGAGGACAGAGAAAAGCTTAGAGCTTGCAAGGTGACATAGAACCACTGGAATGGCGTTACTAACATGAATGCGTAGATGCTAAGCCTATATTCATAAAGGAACTATGTAGTATACAAGCCACCAGCCCCTTCCTTCATCATGAAAGAACAACGAGGGCGTCCAGATTTCTTTCACAGTCTTCAAGATTATCGTGTCACCGTCACCACAGCAGTTTCGGTCGCAATCAAGACTTCCGACCACTTAATGCTTTTACGCTATCATTTCATACCATCAAAATAGGGCTTAAAAGTATCCTTCGAAGTCAAGGAATGCTATCCGATCATTCACACTTCCAACTCATCAAGTGATTTTTAAGAATTCTTCTACCGTTAAGAACAGACGATAGACAAAATACTTCTAAGAATCTAGGCAATTAGATAGTGATACCATCCAAATCCAACTCACCAGTCGAATCGGGATCGACCACCGGCGCAAAGAGCTGAATGACATGCTTCATTGCAAACAGACCAAATCGGCGTAGATAATCACTACTCGAGGTGGCTGCTATGAAAGTCACCCTCACCAGATCAGCTAAATGCAGAACCAGCCAGGGTGTGTCGGTCAGACTGCTGCGAAGTTTGCGTGCCAGAGCGAGGTCAAAGTGCGCCTGTTGTTGTTGCTGTAGCAAGGTAAGTGGCAAGTCACGAGACAGCTGTGGACTACGGAGACCGATTTCTGTAGCTGTGGCAGTGTTGGAGGGAGAGGCAGCTGTGGCTAACTCTGCGGCCTGGTGACAGAGACACATGAGTCGTCGCAAGCAGGCGATGGCGAGGATGCGGGTCGGCCATCTACACATTTTTTAACGCATTTAGCTACTCGGACCCAAACTCACGAGCATCGCACTGGCCTAATCAAACTTAACCGTTTAAAGCAAAAAAGAACCTGATCACGTAACTGGCCAGTTTTTAAACTTTTTTTTAGAAAATTGCTTCAAAAAGGGAAAGCTGGCATAAAACTAGTAATGAAACTCCTCCTTACCTTGGAGGTAGATTGAAGATGGCATCGCTAGGGCTAAAACGTTCATGCCGGGATTTCGAGTTGGCACCAAAGGTCTGCTCATCGTCATCCTCATCCACCTCTTCCTCTGCGTGTATATTCGCACTGCCACCGTTCCCATCATCGGCGACCCATTCTTTCGAAGATCGTCGGGGCTTGAAAGAACCTGTCTGCTCTTGAATCCCTCCAACTGCATTGAACCTCGAGGTTGTCAACTAGAATTAACAAAAGTGTCATCATTATGATGATACAATACTCAGTTACGATCACTATTGGCCCTGCAGCTGTGCTTCTGTGTGATTGTGGAAGCTCTAATCTATAAGACCCTTATAGGAGTTTTAAATCTTAGTCAAAAGAGGCTAGAAAATGGCATAAGATCAATTAACTTCCTACTGATATTTTGTGCGACCGAATGAAGAACAAATCTATTCACCTCACAGTTGTTTCAAACAATCAAATATCTCTAAGATATGGGAAAATGATCTCAGTTTGAATTAATGGGTAATTTGACTTCGGAGGAACTATTTCTATTACACTCGAAAAAGTAGCCATTCGAAAACCACAATCAAAAAAAGTACCTGCAACAGTTGTTTAAGGCTCCTCATCCAACCAGAAAAGTGGCTGAGGCCCCGGGCTTGAAGCAGACTCGAAATAGCTTCTTCCAAATGGCTGCGCAACTTCAAATCTGTCTCCACATCCAGGAGACTAAAAAGCACTGTTTCTAGGGGTGGGATGGCAGCTTCAGTAGGCTTCTCAGTCGCAGACATTGAGGATATCGCTGAGACTGCAGGCTTTTCACCCGGTAGATTGCCAATAAAATTCGTTGCACTGGTGTAAATAGTTGGGTAGGAGGGCGTGGTTGGCACTGATGCCATGAATTCACAGAAGTTGTCTGGATCTTTCTGGCTTATTTGGCGGATACAGGCGATTGCGGCGCGACGAAGAGCAAAGCATGGACTCGTCATGGAGGCCTAAACAAAACAGAAAAGCTAACGGTTTGCTTTACCTGAAATTGAATAGAGTTAAGATTAACGATCTCACAACTTTTCTAACGGAAAAGTCTTCAAAATCGCATTTTAAAATGAACGGTTAATAGTAGGGTGGAAATTCTAACCTTGTATTGTAAAATTGCAAGTTTTCACACATTTTAAATGACTGGAAGTAAGACCTCTTCTTGTGTATTCTGATAATGTTTAAAATTTGTTGTAAGACAAAGAAACAACACTGGATTTCTCATGTTGGAGAGTTGAGATAACTAGCTTTTTTTTCAAAGGTTGGATAA